AAATTATTATGGCTACTTTTCACATCTTATGTAGATTTCTCTTCCTGCAGTGATCACAATTACATTTTTTTTTCTCTGACTGCATGGCATCTCATCTAATTGCATCTTCGAGTACAATAAAAGACTTGTCACTTAAAGTCATTGCTTGAGACTTGGGTACAATTTGTATTATACAGTGCAATAGTAAAAACGATGACAGCTGAAATAACAACAATAATAAGGATGATAATAATGTTTGTAATAATAATGATGATAATAATGTTGATGATAATAATGATGATAATAATGATGTTAATAATGTTGATGAAAATAATAATGTTAATAATGTTGATGATAATAATGATGATAATGTTGTTGATAATAATGATGATAATAATGTTGATGATAATAATGATGATAATAATGTTGATGATAATAATGATGATAATAATGTTGATGATAATAATGATGATAATAATGTTGATGATAATAATGATGATAATAATAATAATAATGTTGATAATGATAATAATGTTGATAATGATAATAATGTTGATAATAATAATGATGATGATAATGATAATGTTGATAATAATAGTGTCAACTAACACAAAGGTTTCAGAAAGTTCATTTTTGTAATTTTAAATACTAATGCCTCTCTTAAAAAGGCGCCATTATAGTTTCTTTTAATTCTCATTAACAAGAAGTCTTCTGAGAATAAACGACAGCTGTGATTTAGGGTAAGGCAAGATAGTAAATATATAAGTATTTGGTTTGCCCAATTTCTGATATTAAGAGAATTGGTAGGAATATAAGCCATCACCAGGATCTCCTCTGGAATTTCAGCATTCAAACTGATAGGGAAATCCAGGCAAATTGATTAAACCTAATTGTAACAACTCATGTTGAAATCAGTTGTCTTCTTATAGATATCGCAGCTTCAGAAGATAAAAAAACAAGGACCTGGAGAGAGAAATTGCTACAAGGTGGCCTCTCAAGGCAACAAAATTACTTGATGTTATTTGGGTTTTGGAAATGAGAAACAAACAAATATATTGATCAAATTCTTGGGAGATCTAAAATATGTGAATTGCCAAAAGTCATTATTATGGGTACTTTTCACATCTTACATAGATTCCTCTCCATGCAGTGACCCCACAATTACATTTTTTTCCCTGATTGCACATGACCTCTTCTATTTGCATATTCTAGAAAAAAAAACAAAAAAAAAAACAAAAAAACTAAACTTGTCTCTTGTAATCTTTGGTTGAGACTTGGGGAATTCTGAATAGCTATTTGGCTTAAAGGTGAATACTATATTAAACAAAGCCAATGAATAATAACAATAAGATATAATGTTCAGTAAGATTTTATTAAAATGAGCTTACTCATTCCTGTAAGAATTGTATTTTATCAATTCCTTATCATCCAGAAGTGAGCTTTTAAATATATTTTTTACAATTATATTAAAATGTACATATTAAGTAATAAATTGATCCCCACAGAATAACACTAGAAAAAAGGATCCCCCACTTTAGGTTCAGTAAGATTTGATTAATACAAGCTTAGCTTTATCGTCAAAAATGAAACTGACATTTTGTCAGTTCCTTATTATTAATAGGCTTTCAAATGTGAGTCTTTGAATATATTTTTACAATTATTATTGTTGCATTTTCGCTCTTTTACAGAAGTTGGACTTTTTATGACCTTGTTTCAACATCTCAGAACAATCTGCTATTGTCATAAGAATACTGGCATCTGGCATCAAAAGTGCAAGTGATACAACAAATAGTTATTGATATAAGAGACAAAAAAAATATACAAACATACTTTGTATATTAGAGATATGCTGTTTTTTTTTCTTTTTTTCATATGCTGCACACTCAACCGTACAATATATTTAATTTTATTTATATTTTTTTCTTGAGAAAATGGTCACTATTATCATTTGAGTTTCCATTGTTTTAGGCTGTGTTTTCTGGAAAGAGACAAAGGAACAGGGGGAAAAAGAATAGATAGAAAAGAAAAAAAAGAAGAAAATAAAGACAACAGTTTTGCTGAATGGCACTGTCAAGGTTGTCTCTGGAGGTAACAGCTTTTTCAGATGTTAATGGCAAGGTGATTTATTGAAAAGTTCACAGAAAATAGGAGAGCTCTTATGCAAAGCATGCCTGTGATAAAACATTTGGTTAAAATATCCTCTTGTTAAAACAATTTGTTATATGAAGCCAGAATAGATGTTGCAGACCATCAAAAGAGCCAGGTGTAACAAGGGGTTGACCTGGGGTTACTACTAGCTATCAAAAGGAGAAGCACATAACCTCACATCAGCATCCAGTTTTTAAACATCAGAAAGAAGTGGAGCAGTCATTCACACATTGCAAAGAGAATGTAAGGTCCACATGTCAAGCTACACCAGAGTGTTCAAGAGTCAGGACTTGAATAAAATATGTTATGATCAGCTGCTAAGAAAGTTGGTTTACTGTGTCATGCAAGACAATTTTTCTCTTTAGAACATATCTTACATATCTATAAGTCTACCATTCAGCCGTGCTTAAAATATTGCTGCCATATATGATCCATTACTCCTGCTGTATATTTAGAAATCATTGCTAAAACCCAAAGAAGATTTGTTTGTTTGTTTGTTTAAAACTTAACGACCCATCGATCAGCAAGAGATCAACCCAAAGAAGAATCAGTAATATTATTGGTTCTGACCCGGCATCTCAGCATCAGTTACTTTCGCACCACCATAATGTTGCCTCCCTGTGCCTTTTCTAGAAATAGTTTCATGGTAATTGTTCAAATAAGCTCTTCACTATGGTACCTAGAATTTATGAATTTAGACAGGCAATAAGGTCTCATCAATTTACAGTCGAGTTGGCTAAATGTAATTAAGTTCTATACTAACAGTTTCTGTTTTTCACACTTCTTGCTTGTGTAACTCATTTCTGACTTTTTGCTTCTGCGTCAATTTTGATCTTCAAAACTTTATATGCAATGTCAACCATTATCATCTGTCTTCTTTATTATCAGACTTCTATTTTTCTTGTTCCTTAGTAATGTTTCTATTTTCTAATTCTTCCGCACCCAATAACCCCTTTATTGCCTTGCTTGGGGATGAACTCAATAAAAAAAAAAAAAAAAAAAAAAATTTAAAAAGATGTAATTGTTGTGTTATTAGTAACCAGAAAACCCACTTCAGTACAAATTCTTGATTTTACTTTGAATAATTAATGATCAATCATTTGAATAATTAATGATCATCATTTTTAAGAGCTTTTGAGAAAGTGATAAAAAGCTACTAAAAAATGTCTAGTTTGTTGCAGTTCTTTTGACTAATTTTGTGAAGTTTAAGTAAAAAGGCCAAATTTGATTCTCATGAATTCAGTTCTTTACAGTAAGGTTCAACCAGTACAAGACCCAGAGGCCACTCAAGGTAGAGGGTTATGATAAGGAGTAGCTTACATAGATAGGATGGGAAGGTAACAGTTTACTCTAGACCTAAACAGATTAAGATTGTAATGATCGGGGAAACATCCTCTTGGGAGTAAGTTCTAGAAGGCAGTGGTTTGTGGGAAGAAGCTGTTTAAGTGGAATTTACTTCTCATCGATGGAATAGAGAGGGAATGAAGGCAGTTTGTTATTATGTAAGTGACATGTTGGGTGCTAGCCATGAAAGTCAGATCTGGTGGAACCAGGAGATACAGTTCATCCGAGCACTTTCCATGGTAGTAGCAAGAGAGCAGTGAGAGACTTGCCACATCCCACCTGTGTGTGTGTGTGAGTGAGAGAGAGAGAGAGAGAGAGAGAGAGAGAGGTTGGAGTGTGGAAAATAATTCTTCTCCAACAAGGACACAGAGATGCTTTTGAACTCTAAGACTGAAAAGTGAGGTTGGGACTGCTTCTGCCCAAATAAGTACTCTATTTTCATTCTTATCTGACTCTTATAAAAGGTAGATGATAGTATGTGGAGTCAGGTGAGTCTATGTGGATAAAAGATCTTTTTTTCATTTTTTTCTAAATTTTTTTATTAGGTTTCTAATTTTTTTTTTTTTTTATTAGGTTTCTAAATATTTTTTTTTATTAGGTTTCTAAATATTTTTTTTTTTATTAGGTTTCTAAATATTTTTTTTTATTAGGTTTCTAAATTTTTTTTTATTAGGTTTCTAAATTTTTTTTTTTTTTATTAGGTTTCTAAATTTTTTTTTTTTTTATTAGGTTTCTACAAAAGTTCTCAGCACCTTCTTTGAAAACTAGGGACTAAGAACACGAGAGAAAATCCTGGAGAACTTTTGCACACGTCTAATAAATAGTGACTTAGAAGCAATGTAACAATGATGAATAGATATCCTGACTACTCAAGTGTTGTATAAAGTCCAAGTTTTGAAATCTAGTTTTTGACAATAGAATGTGCCCAGTATCTCACATCTTATTTTCTTTTGTCATCATCAGAGCACATTGAGGCTATCGTTTGAGGAAAGAACTCACCATGAATTCTGTGGTTGTCAGCGAAGGCACAATGTGGAATATGAACAATGAATTGGAGATAACAAAATCAAGCGAGTATGAAAATTTAAATACCTAGGAAATGTTTGAGCAGACGATGGAAAATGTGACACCAAAATCCCAAGGTATATTGTAATAGCAGAAGATGCCTTTCAAAAGAGAAGCAATGTATTAAGAATCAGGAAAATGTTGAAAAGAATGCTGAACTGTTATGGTTGATTGACATACTGATTCCTTCATTTTTTTTATGGCTTATCAAGCCTTTGCAGGTTATTTAAAGCCAGAAAAATATTTTTAGAATGTAAGAATTTTTTTGGGGGTGGAGAGATAATGACTTAGTGATACAAGTCTGACTAATTAACCCATAGCTGGGGGAGAGAAGAGGTAGATTCCTACTTTTCCGAAGTGTATTTGCATGTAAGTGAATATAACAAATACAACAGGAATTGGAACACGGCTCTCTGATTAACAATTCTGAAACATTATCTATTACCCCAACTGCACATCCAAACTTACAGTATCTGGTATTCCCAAATGGTCACCCATCTAGGTAGTGGCCAGGGTCGACATTGCTTAACTTTAGTGATCAAATGGGAACTAGTGTTTCAACATGATTTGGAAGTAAGCCTCTGAAATGTTATGGAATATCAGTTCTCCGATATGGTACTGAATGGTGGAAATTTCTTAACAGATGAAGAAGAAACTTGAGACAACAGTGATATGGTTTTACAGAAGGATGATGAGAATACATGTAACAGGGAGGTTTTAAGGAAAATAACAACTAGAAGTATACTTATGAGAAAGAGAATTGAAATTTCTAAGGCACAATAAAGAGGAAAGAAGGCATGGAGAATTTGACACTGACAGGATATATTGAAGGCAAGAAGGATAGAGAAAAGTAGCGAATAACCTATTTAACAAGATTGTATAAATGGATGGCAGAACAGAGGATTGAAAATATAACAAAAAGACAAATATTGAGCAACAACGGATAGGAAGTTGTAGAGAGCCGTGACCACCCATGTCCTAAAGGGACATGGGCATATAGAAGGGTAAATAGCAACTTCAAAATGATATAACAAGAGTGAATAGATATTATAAATGCATGAACTCAAATCTTGTATCAAGTCCAAGTCTTGAAATCTAGTTCTTGGCAATAGAACGTGTCCAGCATCTCTAGCCTTACTGAGATCAATAGGATACAATTAAACTCCACATAGATCAAATTATATGGATTTTGGGCAGTAACAATCATTAACAGACTACTTCCAAAAACTAAACCTTCAGAGGTTTAACAGAAAGGAAAAAAAATTGTTATATATAAGAAGGGAAATGTCTTATAAGGAAATACTGTTGAACTAGATAAATACAACTTTATGTTCTATTCTAAGTTAATTTTCTCATACTTCTTGCCAGTGGAACTCCATTCTGATTCCTTGCTTACCTTCAAAAATTTAAATGCCAACTGCCTGCTTCTGTCTTTCTAAATCTTGTTCCTATATTGTCTTTTCCCTCACTAAGGTCTTTCTCATTCTTTTTCACTCCCTCTAAACCTCAGAATCTTAGTGGCATTATCACCTTGCTTGGGGTGAAATGATTTAAAAAAAAAAAAAAAAAAAAAAAATTTTTAAATGCTGTACTGATTAAAATTAGATACAAAATAAAACAGTCTTTCTCTTCTTTTTTTTTAATTTCATTGTCTTCTTCCTAGTTTGTTATTTGTAAAATTTCAAATGTTTTAGAAGTGGGAGACAGAGTGTAAAGTTTTGGGGAAATGACATTTATGTGTATACAGGATGTCCCTAAAATTTAGACATTTTTTTTTTACCTCCACAGATTAAAGATGGTTTTGTCAAAAGAATTAACTTCTTTTTCTAGGGTATGCTAAAGGAGAAGGTGTACTCAATGAAAATCACCAATTCAACACACTTGATTGAATGCATAAAGAGTGAATGTGCTAAAATTGAAGGCAAATTGGAGCTTTTGTTCACATGAACCTTTCAAACTTTGCAATACAAATCATGGAAATCATATTGAAGAAGCTATTTGTTAATATTTCAATTCAATAAAATGCTGTCGAAAATTTCATTTCTTGAAAATTTTTTGTCTATGTGACCAGACTTTTGAGACAACCTGTATAACGAGCTGGACACCCTAAATTCCATGTGTTGTAAGCTAAAACTATAGCTAATTTATGGAGAGTGCAGAATTTTATTATAACTTTTAAAACGGACATATTTTTTAAAAATTATATATTAATATATAATACATATAAATATATTAAAACAAGGGTTGGAAGAAGAAAGAAGCACTGTAAAATGTTAAATGAAAAAAAATGAATTTAAAAATAAAATGAAAAAGAAGTTAACTGGTTATTGTTCAAAGATTTTTTTCAGTAATCATCAGAGCACATTGAGATTTGAAATCACTTGTTACCTTATCAAATCTAAGTAGCCCTTCCTCTTTCAGCAGAAGGAGTGGTTGTTCAGTCTCAATTTTGTTTGTGACTCATATTGCTGACTCCTAATGTAATTCCCACACCTCCATATGATCCATCAGTAAAGATGGTGGAAAAATAGTTCCTTGTGCTGCCCCAGTAAGTACCTGACATCTGCTATCCTCTACAAAGCCCAGATTAGGTCAAAAATGGAGTACTGCTACCATATATGAACAGGAACTGCCTAGTCTTTATTTCCAAATCTTGACAAAGTCTCTCCACATCATTTTCTACTCTAAAAACCCTTTTCCCAGCAATGAAACATTGCAAGCCTCTCGTTATTCTATAGCTATTTCTATGGAAAGAGTTCAGATGAGCTACATTCCTTAGTCCTACCAATTTTAATCTTCATGGCCAAGACTCGCCATTCCACACACTTTGTAGCAAACTGTTCTTATTTCCTTCATGTTCCCTTGGTGAGATGTAAGTTCCACTTGATCATCTTCCCACGAACTGCTGCTTTGTGAAATCGACTACCAAGAGGACGCTTCCCCGATCACTACAATTTTAACCTCTTCTTGTTTAGGGTAAACTGTTATCTTCCTAACTTAAACTTATAAAACTCACCTCTTGCTTTTTAATCCTCTCTCTCTCGAGTGGCTCTTGGGCCTTGAAGAGAGTGGACATTATTAAAAAAAAAAAAAAAATATATATATATATTTTAGTTGTTGTGCACAAATTTTTAATCTTTTTGCCCTTAGTTGAGATTGGAATATAACCCGGTTAGCCATTTTTGTTTTATCATTTCTGTTTTTACTCTCTCCCCTTGTTTTAATATATTTGTATGAGATATATATATATATATATATATATATATATATATATATATAGGATTAAGATAGGTAAAGGTTTGTCACTTAGCTGATTGATGTTAACTTCAGTATCCCAACTGCAAAGTTTCATAGAGGGACCTGTCCATCCACTCTTCCGTCTTTCCTCTCTCTCTCTCTCATATAGATACATACATACACAGATAGATACTTTTCTCGTTTAAAAAGATTGATAATAAAATACAAAGACAATTGTTTGAATCTAAACAGATGTAGCATAGGCCGTTTTAAAAGCTATAAATTTCTTTATTTATATTCGGACTATTGTTCTGATCTTTTGTTTTTCATTATCATCTTCATTTATCTGTTGGTATGAATCAGATTGTTCTCATTCGGCTGTCTCGGGACATCTTGTCCTGTTCTTATTCAGTTCAGTACTATAGAGATAGATAGATAGATAGATAGATAGATAGATAGATAGATAGACAGATACATACACAGATACATACTTTTCTCGTTTAAAAATATTGATAATAAAATACAAAGACAATTATTTAAACAGATGTAGCATAGGCCGTATTTATTTTTACATGTCCGTTTTAAAAGCTATAAATTTCTTTACACTATTTATATTCGGACTATTGTTCTGATCTTTTGTTTTTCATTATCATCTTCATTTATCTGTTGGTATTATTGTTCTCATTCGGCTGTCTCGGGACATCTTGTCCTGTTCTTATTCAGTTCAGTACTACTCAGCTATTGCTCGCACTGTTTTTACGCTGAGTCTAATCGACCCAAGGTTTGAACTCACAATTTAAAAATACTATGTCACGAAATTTACAAATCAACGCTTCACAGGGTTCAGTCTAAAAAGGCTTTGAAAGGGTTTAGTTCAAAATTCATGAAGCTTGCCCGGATCAACAGACATCCGAAAAAGGCCGAAGCCTTGCGATAACAAAGATGAAAGCAATAGTTTGACCATAATGATAAATCCCCATCCCAGAAATTCAAAGAAAAACCGTCCGTCAAAAAAAATTGTTTCATCCGACAAAGCCTCGTCAGAGAAATCTTTTTCGGCTTATTGCCTGATATTCAAATTTGGCTCAACGTTATGCAAAACAAAAGATTATAAAATGATTATATTTTTCCGCCAGTGAAAATTAAGAAAGAAAGAAAAAAAGATATTTAAAACAAACCTACCCGTTTCGCTGCTATGGATGCCAATCTTTTTAAAAGGGATATTTTACGGCAGACAGACACAGAACAACAGAAGTCAACTGTCACGCCGTTTTGATCAGAGTTTTTTTGGCTTTTTTTACCATGATGGCAAAGAGAAACATGATTACCAAACATCGAAGGAAACTGATAGCAATAAGAAAAACACTTTCAATTCAACCTTCATTTGTACATTCGTTTACTTTCAAATCAGCTTAGAAAAAAGAAAAAAAAGAGCAAACAAACCACAACTTAAATTAAAAAGAATAAAAACTTGTAATTCCAACGGATAATTTATTGTTTAAACATAGATTTCAGAAAGCATTTGCGATCCTTGATCACTCATGCTTGAGTCTTGAGAAATGAAATTCAATTCGAATTTTTTTTTTTGTTAATTTGAATTTATAACGTATGTAGCTTAGTCATTGTTTCAATTACAAGTTTTTTTATTCTTTTTAATTCAACTTCACCAATGGAATCGTGCGTTTTTACAATTATTAAACCACAACTTACATCGAAATGTATCTGGTTTCAAAGACTTTTTAATCTTACATGTCGAATCCATACAATTTTTTTTTCATAAAGCATAAAAAGCAACATTACCAAACAAACTCTTTATCGAACTGTGTAAATTCGAAAATGTATATAGGTGATCTTTTCTGTTAATTCGCCAATATTAATTCACCCACAAGAAATTATATATTTTATTACCAAAGTTTTTTTGCTTTTTTTTTTTTTATTAAATTTTTGGGTACTACTATCTACTGAGGCGTACCGTAAAAATGACTAGTACTCTACAAATCAACACACTTCTGGCCTACAGCATTTAATTCCGCAAACTGTACACAGTGTTATTTTTAAGTGGTATTTTTATCTAATTTGTATTCATAAAGGAGGTATTTTTATGTTATTCCATTACAAAATGTGTGAAGTTTTATAGTGTATTATTACGCCCCTTCAATGTTTGTAACATTTCATTCATACTTCCAATAATTGGTAAATATTATATAATAGAAGAAAAGGAATGGTGGATATCATACTAAGTAACTAAGTAGCACTAATTTTTGGCATTCTTGAAATTATAAATTTGGAATCAAAATTTGTTTAGCTTGCCTCGCAGTAACTCCAACCATCAGAATGAAAAATGACCAAAAATCATGAAGTTATGCACGTGTGGATGATATTCGAGGTGTGAATTTTTTACAATTTAAAAAAAAAAAAAAAAAAAAAATCTGTTTTTGGCTGATCCGGGTGAGCGCAACGAGACCCTACACTTAACCCACCCGAATCACCCATATTTGGAGCGCGGGCAAAGGTTAACCCAACTGGAAGAATTTGGTGTGAATTTTAGTAAATATAAATTCTTTATTTTGATGTGAATTAATATTTTGGGCCGATTTTTTTTCTATTTTTTTTTTTTTGCTATTCGACTATAGCGATTTTCCAAGCGTAGCTTAGATGTGGCACAAGGCCGAAAGTATGGGGCACCCAGTGAGGACCGAACTCACTACTCATTCGTAATTGTGCTAGCGAGACAAGCTTGCTAACCATTACACCGCCTCTAGGTGCCCTATTCGACTATATATATCTGAAAGTCTCAATTCAAGATCTATTTCTCGAAATGAGCGGTCGTATGCCAAACATGTCAATGCTCTTTCAACATAAATAAAAAAAGTAAAACCATTGACTCAGTTAAAAAAAAAACTGTTCCACTAAATTTTCGTTGCCTGTCCATATTCTTTTTATCTAAATATTGTAAAAATATAAATAAATTTTATGTTGCGTCTTCTTTTATCTTTTTCGTTTATATCTCCATAAAGATTTTTTTTTTAATGTATTGCATTTTTACGACTTTCCATAACAGCTTTTCAATTTTTCATACATTGTCTAAATAATATCTAGCCAGCAAGCCGATCTGTTTTGTTTCATCTCCATCCTTCTCCTCCTTCATAATTTTCTAAAGAATTAATGGATTTTTATTTTTAATCCCACATATTTTTATTACTTCAAACGTTATTCTTAGTGAATACTCGGCCCGTTTTTATTTAAAAAAAAAAAAAAAAAAAAAAAGAAAAAAAAAAAACGGTGTTTGTTTCGTCTACCGTCTTGCGCATTCGAGAAAACTTAAAGAAAATGAGGTCTCCGATAGGATTCGAAACTGCGATCACCTTCGTAAAAGGAACTACCGTTGGATCCAGCTTGCTTTAGATCACTCAGCTACGGAGAGCCTCGCAGCTTAAACAAAGTTTTATTTACCTTTAAAAGTACCTCTCTTCTTTCAACTTTTATTTCGAAAGCCATCTCCCTCACCTATACACACAAATGGCCTTCTAACATAACCCTCTACCTCGAGTGGCCCGCTGTTTAAAAAATAAATAAATAAAAAGGATAGCAAAGAGTTTCCTGGGATTGTTTTAATATGTGCCTGTATTCCTTTTTAGTTTTAATTATTCTTCCTGCTCCCGTTGCTACTGGAATTCGGGGTTATCCCACTTGTCTATGCTAAAAAAAAAGTCTCTAGGGTACGCTCCTTAAGCCTATAAAAAAGCTTGCCTTTTTCTCCCTAGTCTCTTTTACAGATTTTCCGAATTCGGATCGCTTCTCGACCTTTTGGCTGAGATTCGATCACGGCTACGACTAGCTTGGACCGGCTTAAGCCTGAACCAGCTTGGACAAGCCAAGACCAGCTCTGACCAGCTTGGACATGCAATGACCAGCTTTGGACCAGTGGCACGAGTGGAAACGCTCGGGTCTCCCACGTTAAACCGACCTTGTGTCACATCCTGACTTAGTGGGAATCAAGTAAATACCTCTTTTACAGATTTTCAACTCTGGATATAAGGTGTAGTCGTACGCGAGAAAAAGTGTACTCCCACTGGGGAATGTTCATTTTCATGTTTTTTTGTCTTGTCTTTTTGTACTCTTTCACATGCGGATCTATCATGTAGGCTTACACAAATTTCACGACCCCACCAGAAAAAAAAAAACCCCAAAAAACAACAAAACAAAAAACCGCACATTCTCTAGTTTAAAGGTTTTTTTATTATTATTATTATTGTAATTGCTTTTTATCAGTACATGAAATTAGTTGTTTGTTTTATATTATTTTGTGTTACTCAATTTTTACTTGGACTTAACACTGAGTCCGCTAATATTGTTTGTGAAATCAATTTTTCAGGAGCACGTAAATATTTACTTCCCAAATTGTTGATACCCGCAACATCATGGTGGCTAAATATTTACGTAAACATCCTAGCATCCCGCAACAGAATAATAATTGTGTTTAAATGTCACATTCTAGCAATTACTATTTCTTAGGCCCTTACATTATCAAATTCAAATTCTTTTGCTCGTATGATCCGTTGTTATTAACTCTAATTTTCTGGTTAACACAATTCTTTACCATGTCTTTTACCTGAAACCTCAAGTAAAGGAACGCTTTTCGGAGAAAGTTTGACAGATTTTTGTTCTATGTGAACAGTCCACGCGAGCACATTTTTTTTTTTTGCATCTCAGATAATGATGGGTTAATTTCCATGGGATTTTCTTAATGTTTATCAATATTCTTTTTTCTCGTTCCTAGTGCCTGTTCCGGGAATGCTATTTGTGTTTAGGTAGAAAACACGTGTCTCCTGGTATTTTTCCCTGTAGTAGTTACTGCGGACTCGAATGTGAGCCCGAGTAATAAATGAATAGCAAAAAAAAAAAAACAGTATATAAACAAACGACAATGTATGTACAGTGTAACCCGGATATAAGAGAGGTTTTCTCTGGTCCAAAATTAGAGCCTGTGTTAATGTATATAAAATCGACCAAACCCGGATATAAGAGACTTTTTCTCCAGTCCCGACAACTCTCTTATATCCGGGTTACACTGTATTAACAAAAAAGTATACATAGACAATAAAGGAAGAAAACATTTAAAGACTAATTGCAAGAAAACATTCAAACTAGAGAACGTATTTGCGTGTATGAAGTTTGTGTCGGGGAAGTCAGAGAAAAGTAATTGAAAGTGAATTAAACATTCCCCAGTGATAGATACACGTACGACTACATCTTATAGCCGGGATTGTAATTGGAGAAAAGGACGATGGGTGAGAATATCACTTCTATTTATAAGCTTAAGGAGCGTCCCCTAGCGACGGTTTGTTAGTAAAGTCAAGTGGAGTAACCCACATGCTCCTATTATTATTGGTATAGTAATTGTGTCAGTTTAATTGTCACATTCTTGCAGTTTCTATTTTCATGTCCTATTGTTGAAAGTTAATCAAATTCTTTTGCCGAGATGTTTTTAACTTTGTTGTTAAGCAGCCAGTTCAGTGTTAATGTGTATCTTTCGTACTTTTGAAACTATATTTTTGGTTTATTTTATACCAATTAGTTCTCTCAATGACTATAATTTGTTCACGATCAAGCGCTGTGCTAGGGACAGAGTTTTTACAAAAACCGCCAGAGATTGATTAAGTTAAAAATAACACAGCAAACACAGGCACAAAAATAAACATCCGAAACAACTTATTAAATTCTGCGATTGAAAAATAAACAAACACACACAAAAATAAAATAAATAATAAAACGAGCATTTACGAAGCTTAGAACAGGAGTCACAGTTACTGAACTTACTCTAGATCAGGGCCTCAGTTAGCTAGTGTGGCACAAGGCTACAATGATGTATTCATATAGGGTAAAACACCAGACTATTTGCTAGCTAAACAAGCTTACTAACCAAACCATTCAGTCGCACACTAAATAAATAGTGACAGAACTTAAACTGCTTGAGAGATTGCTGTAAGAGCAGCAGTTACCAAACCAAAGTAGATAATCGGTTTATATATATATATATATATATATATATATATAGTGTGTGTGTGTGTGTGAGGTTAAAAATTCAGAAGATAAAACTAAAAAAATATATCCATAAAATGACAATATGAACAAAAGGAAAACTTATCCTAGCCAACCCGTTTCGTCCTTTGACAGATTGATTGATTGATCTATTGATTGATTGATTCGTTCCCTACGACTTATAAATCTTTTTTGCAGGTTATTTAAAGCCAGAAATTTTTTTTTTAAATTCTAAGAATTTCTTTTTGTTTTAGATAATAATGTTTTAGGGATACAAGTCTTTCTAATTAACCCATAGTCGGGGGAGAAGAGGTGGATTGCGCGTAGGTGAATATAACGAACTCAACTGAAATTGGAACTCGTCCCACCGATTAACAATTCCCAGCAGTTATCAATTACACCATCCTCACATCCAAATTTACAGCAGCTGGTATTTCCAAGTGGTCACCCATCTAGGTAATGACCAGGCTCAACGTTGCTTAACTTCGATGATCGTACGGGAACGGGTATTTGAACGTAATATGGCCGTAAGTGTTTCGTCCTTTCATGAAGCTTATCAAAGCCTTGATATGGCGCATCAGGACGACAAAACCAGTCGGCTACGATGTTTTCTTTTGTCTTTATATATATATATATATATATATATATATATATATATATATATATATATAGTGTAACCTGGATATAAGAGAGATTTTCTCTGGTCCCAAATTAGAGCTTGTGTTAATGTATATATAATAGACCAAACCCGGATATAAGAGACTTCTTCCCCGTCCCGACAACTCTCTTATATCCGGTTTACACTATATATATATATATATATATATATATATATATATATATATATATATATATATTGATTAAAAAAAAAAAAAAAAAATCACGAAATTAGGAAAGTTCCTTGTTGATAATTTTTTTTTTTTTTATTTACTTATTCGATGTTTCGAATAACTTTTCTGATTTCCGGTTCCCATATCTAAGTCCTTTCGCCTAAACACTATCTATTTTCTGAAATATTTTTCTTGTTTTTTATATCGTTAGTTTCGTTTATTTATTTTTTCGAATTTCGCATTTTACGTATGCATATATTTGCATCAAACCTTAGGCCCAACATAGCAAATACCTTTCATTAAAAAAGACTAAAGACACAGTCTCGTGAGAATGTTTACTTTAACCTAAGCAGACGATCCCTATATCCAGAGTGAAATCTATGTAGCCATTTTGTATTTCTCTTCTCTTTCTAAGAATTCTTGCCCATTACAAATCTGTATTGTATTTTCGCATTTTAGCTTAAAAATCGAATCTAATGAACTGTCCTCTATACGACCTAGACATTAATTTAAGCGCAGTAATAGATTGGGAGGCAAGGTCTAATCATTTTATAGTTGAGATGGCTAACACTTTCTTTTCTCGCACTTTTGGAACTCTTTTCCGGTTTCTTACTTTCCAGTCAAGTTTGGTCTTCAAAAATTTGTATGCAATGACAATCGTTATCTTCTGTATTCTTAATTCCTATTTTTTTATTGTTCTTGCTCCTTAATAATGTTTTTCTTATAGTTTTTATTTTTTTTTTTTTTTTTTTACATTCAGTAACCTGATGCGTCTAAGTGGCTTTATTGCCTTGCTTGGGGCGAAATGATTAAAAAAAAAACAAAAAAACAAACAAACAAACAAAAAAAAAAAAAAAAAAAAAGACAATGTAAATCTTCGGTTGAAGAAGGGAAGAGAAGTTCTGAAACATGTATTAACGTTCAAAAGAAAAAAAAATGTTATACAGTTTTTGTCTATATTATCGTGTGTGTTTTATTTATTTTTTTTTAAATTCCAAATATAACTACAAAAACTTTCACTTTTCGAAAGTTTGAAAAACATTCGTATTTATTTTACGATAACAAAATGAAACGCTTTCCAACAGCGAATTTAAAACATGTTACCCGTGTAGCATTCACATTCACGACAACTGAATGAAAGAACCTGGGCGTGTCCCTACATGGTCAGTTAAACATGAAAATCAATCATGTACGCAAAATTACTATTAAAAAGAAAAAAAAAAAAGAAAAAAAAAGAATCCCAACTATTTTTTTTTTTCTTTAGCAGCTGGTTGGTGATGGATATTTGCAATTGATAAACAATCAGATTTATGAGTTCATTTTAGTTTAGTTCTACGGTCATTACCGAGCGAAATATCGATTTTTGTTAATAAATATTTTTTAGATAATAATAATTTAGGGATACAAGTCTTAATAATTAACCCATGGTAGTGGATAAGAGCGTTAGTTGAAGTAATCCAATGACTTGATCCAAAGAGTTCAATACCTGACCACAGCAGAGGCTGACTAAAGGAAAATAACTGAAACAAATATCTAGAAAAGGCGTGGAACGAGAATAATATATCCCGGTGGGATGAAATAAAGGGTTCAGTTCGAAATTCCAGTGTATATCACATGAAGAAAGCCGAGGCGTACAACGGCCAAAAGGTCATGAGGACAACAGTTTTATATACAATGTATATAGTATAAATAAATGAATAAAAGGAGATAAATAAATAAAAGTAAATAAATAAAAGTAAACACTGAAAATCCTGGGAATAAAAGGATAATCGGAGATCAGCAATACAAACTGTGATCTATTAATAAATACAGAGTTAATCCCCTTGTAACTATTTATAGAAACCATTCTCATTTCAATAAAGCCCATGGCTACTATTAATCAGTGATATTTAGCCCCCCCCCCCCACTCACGAGAGTTACATGTGGCACAAGACCGGGATTAACGTAGGATCTCCGAGCCTGTAGGCTCGGCCAAAAATATTCCCTATTCGAACGCGTATAAACGGGTTCAGGGGCAGTCAACCTCCCCGAACGAGACTCTGCCCTTTGGCGGAGCCTCGTCCGGGTTATCAAAGGCTTAATTAATCAGTTAGTTTCGCCATAGGTTGCTACGGCCAAGCACACAATACGTTTTGTCTCGTCATTCACTTTGCAACATTAACATAATAGATGATATTTTTCATCTATAAGCCGCGTCCCTATTATTGTTCTCGTTCCTTTTTTCTTTCTATAACACTCAGCAATCCAATGCGTCTCGGTGGCTTTAATGCAATGCATGAGATGAAATGTTAAAAAAAAAAAAAAAAAAAAAAAAACTTTGCCTCAGCAATGATAAAATCTTGCTTTGTTTTCAGGGAACAAAATCAAAACCTAAACATTGGAAGTTGTGACACGCTCGTAGCAAGGATTTTGATATTAACGACATATTTCGCCTATGATCCACATTCACCTAAAATTTTCCCCAGGTGTTTTTTAGGCTTTTGTATGGATGTTTTTAGTGTTGTTTCGATCAACAGTTTGCTAATACCATGCCAAGGAAGAACACAAGAGCGAGCACGTGGAAGGTTGAGTGGGTAAAAAAAATGTAGAAATATTCCACTCGTCCTCAAAGAAACCGGACAAAAAAAAAAAGAAAGCAGATCAAGCTTAAATAGAAATGTTAGAATTCAGAAATTATTGAGGTGCTTTACATTTTTTGTCCAGTAAGGTAGGATAGCCAGCAAGGTTTCTTAATGGCTTCAACTCGGGGTATTACAAATGGCTGTTACTCAGATTACCACGCAGACTATCACTGGCAATTTAATACGTTATCCTCTTATTTATATCTAGTGCACGAAGGTAATGGTAAGCAAAATGTGCGCGAATATTTAACAAAAAATGTTCAGCTTTATTTGAAATTGTGTTACTTATAAAGTGTATAAAATGTCGAATAACTTAACTATGCATGCTTAAAAGCTGAACCTTTGCAGATTAATAATTAGATATGTTTTAATTGATGGGTAAATTTAATCTTTCTCCGTAAATTATAATTAAATTTTAACTTGGTATCCACTCAGTCGGGATATTTTATAATAATTTACAATAAAAGGATGATTTATTTTGCCTGAATCTGATTAATTAATACAATATTTTCTAATAATGTGTCCGCTATAATTTGAATCTGTCGAATTTGTTGTTTTACCAAATCTTAATCCATATGGATTTTTTAAAAGGCTTTCTCTGCAAACACTACAAACCCACAGTGAATAATAATTCTTATTCTATATACCATGTACCTCCAAAACATTGGTGATCATAGCTCTCCACAATTTCCTGTGCTTTGTAGCTCTTAATAAATTTGGTCTTTTTGCTATCTACCCTCAAACTCTGCTCATCCATCCATTCACTGAAGCTCTCCAATGAGGTTACGCATTGCTTTTCTTTGTATCTCTTACCTTTATTCTGTCCTGTGTGTATCAACTTTTCCAAGCCCTCTTTATGTTATATTTATACAGATTTTAAAATTTTTTCTTCACAAACGCTACATGCTTAAATGATGAAAGAGATAATAAAAAAAATAAAATGAATATACGATATTCATTTGTATAAATTATACAAAATCTGACAAGGCCAAAAGTAGGAATGGGGAAAAGGGACGGTATTTATCTGTCTTAACTTTAAACTTAGCTAGCCACAAACACTGACCAAAAGCAGACAACAGTATTCCTTACACCAAAACAACACATTCTTACTACATTCACCATAGTACCTTATTGTCTCAATGAAAAGACCCCATATGTACAATATTAAATAAATATACAGGCCAAGTGATATTTTTTTGGAGAAAGATAAACATTATTTGTCGGTCAATACATAAATAAATCTAACCTTAAAAGTCGCCTAATTCTTATAAGAAAAGACCATTTTCGATTTTCAGATATTTGAAAGTTGTTTCTTCTCATCAATGATTAAACATGGTTTTGTTGTTCGGTTATTAGTCGTCGTTTGAAGATGAAAAGACGTAGGATGATGACGAACAAAAACTAAGTGTTAAATTGGTTGCGAAAATAGACAAACAAAAGAATGAAACACGAGATAGATTTTTTTTTTATCCGAGGATAATTCCTGAAAGGTGAAAATTCAAAAAATGTCTTCAAGAGAGTCTCTGTAAAACGTATGAAGAAAAACTTTAACTTACTCTAAGTGTTTTTTATATAAAGATAAAAATTTAGAGATCTTTACCAAATCATAAAACCACCACCACTTGAAGACTTCCAAAAGCTGTAACAACTAAAATAGCACGTATAACTCGACATGAAAATAACGACATTATCAAGACGCTCACTTTCCACACTACCTTAAACAAAAGGTTAGGAAGGAAATCTCCATCAATACTACATCTCCAGGTCTAAGCGACTTACCGCCATATCACGTTGAAACACCAGTTCTTGTACCATCACCGAAGTTAAGCAACGTCGAGCCTGGTCAGTACCTAAATGGGTACTGTAAGCTTAGATGTGCAGGTGGTGTACTGGATAACGGCTCCCAATTTGAAATCGTAGAGCCGAGTTCCAATTCCAGTGGGGTTCGTTATATTCACTTAGGCGCAAATATCCTTTGGAAAGGTATGAATCCACTTCTTTCCCATACCAGCTATGGGTTAATTAGTAAGATTTGTATAGCTAAATCATTACCTCCAAAAGTTTCTTACAATCTAAAAA